TTTCTTACAATGTAGCATTTCGCTTTCCTGCTGAGCCATATACAGAGTCTCAACTTTGGGACACGGGCTCCATAGAGACATAGAGCTAAATGAGAGGAACAAAAAAGTCCTCTACCATAATGTGAAAATCCTAATAGTTTTTTAATAATAACCGCGTAAAGTTTGGCGCTTTCCACGCCCATCGTGGCCTATAAACACTCCGCGGTAAGCTGTGTGCGTAGGGGCTGAGCGATAACGCGGCTCGCGCTGACTGTCGCGATAGCGTTTTGGCGCTTTGACACCGCGCGACGGTCAGCGCGAGTCGCGTTATCGCTCAGCCCCTACGCACACAGCTTACCGCGGAGCGTTTATAGGCCACGATGGGCGTGGAAAGCGCCAAACTTTACGCGGTTATTATTAAAAAACTATTAGGATTTTCACATTATGATAGAGGACTTTTTTGTTCCTCTCATTTAGCTCTATGTCTCTATGGAGCCCGTGTCCCAAAGTTCTGAGACACCCTGTATTTCATCTTCATTAATTTTTAGTGGAATAGGCCTACTGGGGAAACCACTTTAAAAAAAACGCATCAACAATAGTACCTCATGGGTGACGTAGAAATCTATTAACAAAACTTTAATAATTATATTCTTAATTATTATCACTATATTATTATTAAAGACAATTTATTATATTAAAAATAAAAGCATAATATTTCATCATTAATGAGAGTAAAAATTATTTTTTAAGGATAAATAAATATTTTATTTTTGGTTTGACGGAGGATGCGATCCCATCTTATATCGTATATGAGACCGTTGCTGAGGCAGAGCGTCTCACGCGCGATCGGCGGCTCGGCCGTCGCGCTTCTAGAGGTAGTGGGGGAAGCGCGGGTTTTACCTCTGAAATCGGCTCGCCCTGCTCACTTAATTCCCAGCACTGATCTATAGTATACGTGACAAACTATATATTTTCAGTACTGACAGTGAATTTCGGAACGCAGCCTAAATATGAAAGCTTGTTTATAGTACTCTCATATACATTTGTTGCCATTGGAAATTGTTTATTGTTTTGTTTTATTGGATAATAAAGCTTGTACCGTGCCGAGGTGCTCAGCCTATTGACACTGAAAACTTAGACTAATGTAAATTTTACAGGCCACTGGAAATTCTATGCATGTAGGTAATATTCGTTACATCTCTTTGAAAACGGCGTAAACTTGTTCAAACACTTAATACTAATCTGCTGAATGCATCCTTTTTTTCTGGTGCGATCACATGAAAAGTGGACATCTTTAGATACTTTCTCAAATACATCTTTAGATAACTCTTTGAGCTCAAACTACAGGAAAAGATAGACCACCTTTTGAGCTTATAGCGTTTTATTTCAATACTTGTAGCGACAAGATGCGAAGTATAAAAGCTTGGACACACAGAAAAAAACTTAAATAATAAGATGATAAGATAAGATAAATTTAACTAAGATAACTCAGATTATAAGATAAACATTAAGTAAGTTAACCAATCACAGTTGTATATTTTTGGGCCGTAAGAAGAATAATCAATTTTGATTAGTGAATTTGTGCTTACTGTTTATGATTTATTGCTAAAATGTTCTATGTGCACGGTTATACTTGTTTTACTGCCCAGAAGCATGTCTTTATTTAGCATTTTCTAATAAAAATCTAGATAAATATGCAAGCTAAACAAATATGGGGTATTTGTATTGGGTGAGTGCAAAAGTTCGTGCGGAGTTTGTGAGTAAAAGTCACACAGTGATTAGGCAAACAAAAATCTTTATTCAATCAATGATATATTCTCCATCGTTTTCTATAATCTTTTCCCAACGTTCTGGCAGCATACGGATGCCTCGATCATAAAAACTGCGCGGTTTAGATTCGAAGAACGAAGAAACGCCGTTTTTTAAGGCCTCCAAAGAGTCAAAGTTTTTTCCATTTAAATAATTTTGCAATGACCGGAACAAGTGATAGTCAGATGGTGCGATATCAGGAGAATACGGTGAATGCGTTAAGACATCCCATTTCAGGCTCTTCAGTTTGCGCAGCGTCTTTTCCGAAACGTGTGGTCTGGCGTTGTCGTAATGAAAGACGACTTCCTTGCGATTTGACAAAATCGGACGTTTCTCTTTTATTTCTCGATTCAGATTGGTTAATTGGCGACAGTACTTGTCCGAATCAATCGTTTCGCCAGCGGGGAGAAGCTCGAAATAGATTATGCCCTTGCAATCCCACCAAACAGAGAGCATCACCTTCATCGGGTGCAAACTGGCCTTTGGCATTGCGTCACCATGCTCACCTGATTGTTTCCATGTCCGTTTGCGCTGAACATTGTTGTAGAGGACCCATTTCTCATCGCCCGTCACTAGTCGATCCGAAAACGACTCGTTATTGAGCCGCCCGAGTAAAGAAACGGCTGCAAAAATTCGCTTGATTTTGTTCTTCTCGGTCAGCAAATGGGGCACCCATATATCGAGCTTCAAATCGAATCCCATCTTTTTTAAACGCCGAAAAGCGGTTGATCGGTCAACGTGCTGTAGCAACTTCTTCTGTTGAAATTCGCGGATTATTGAGCACTAAAGTACGCAAAACATCGTCATCAATGTCAGAAGGTCGACCAGAGCGTGGCTCGTCTTCAAGGTTAAATTCTCCGCGCCGAAATTTAGCAAACCATTTTTCCACAGTTCGTTTAGCTGGTGCTTCATCCTGATAAACATCCTGAATGTTTTTTACGGCTGCGGCAACGTTTATTCCCTTCCGAAACTCGTAAAGCATAACATGCCGTAAATGCACCTTATCGATACTCATTTTTAAAGTGATATTTCTCGAAGCAGTTTGTATGAAAACAAATGGTTTTTTTTTTAATAACAGCTGAAGACGTCACTTTTCCAACGTTATATAATATGTAGATGGAAGTATTAATGACAACACTTTACGACGCTTATAACTCCATCTATTGAAACTCCGCACGAACTTTTGCACTCACCCAATAGTACTATCCTCTTCGGATAAAATTTACCTCGTAGTAGCCTCTTATAAAACACTCGGTCTATGTATATTTGTCTTTGATAATATCTATAATAATATAAGGCCAAGTTGCATCAACATTTTGGTTTTAAGCGAGACTTAAGCCCGATTCAGAATAGGTTGCAAAGTTGCGAGTTGCGAAGGATGGCAGCTACTAGTTACAAAGTGCTATTTTCTGTTGAAAGAGACAGTTGCGATTGCCGGTTGCCGCCGCCAAGAAGTTAAAAGTTGGGCAACTGTCTTTTAGCAGCCGCAACTGTCTTACGACCGATTGATGTGATGTGCGAGCGGAAAAACTGCGAACGACATCTGTCGGAATTTCGCTACGGAATTATGCATAGACCCATATACAATACAATAAGTTGGAGTAAAACAAATATATTTTCTGTTATTTTAACTGATTGCATCAAGGTTCATTTACAATGGCTACAAGAATAAGGTTCTAAGCGTAAGCAGTAAGAAATAGACCAACCACAATCGATTATTATAAAAATAATCGATTATGATTGATCCATTTCTTACTGCTTACGCTTACAACCTTATTCTTGCAGCCATTGTAGATGGGCCTTTAGTGTGCACTAGTAGTTCAAAAAATTCTTCGAGAAAAAACAGATTCACAATGCGTTCCAAAAACAAAGCGCTCATTGAGCAATTCGTGACTATTAATCTTTACTGTTAGATCTTATATTCAAACCAATAATATTGACGAATTACTCAACCATCATTGTACGGCCGTTGTGTCTTCTGTACACAGCTAGTGAAACAACATTTGTTTTCGAAAAACTTCTGTGAGAGGGCACACTAGTATCACACTAGTAAATGAATTAAAGTAAAAGAAAGTACACTTATTACATTTTAACTTATTGCACTACGTGTGAGCGGCGTTGGAGCATCTATTGTATGCACAAAGCCATATATTGAAGAAGAAGAACTTATTGCACTAGTTCCGAAGTTTTTCGAAAACGAACAGATCTAATTAGTCGATTCTTTTTCGAAGAACTTCCTGAGCTTATGTACACTGCTGCAATAAATATAATAAAATAAAATAAAATATACTCGCTCTAATATCAGGTGTAGTAAAAAGAAATCAATTATTTTTGCATGAAATTGAAGGCTTTAATTACCATAGTTAGAATGATCCGATTTAGGTCAAATATGCGCCGTTTTGTTCGATAACTTGTTGCCATTTTGTAGGTAATTTCATTATGCCTCTCTCATAGAAGCCCTCGTCCCTATTGGCAAAAAATTGAGACAGTCGATTTTCACAAGCCTCTCTTGAAGCGAATTTTTCACCAGCAAAATTGTTCGCCATGGACAGGAACAGATGGTAATCACTTGATGCCAGGACTATAAGGATGCATAAGAACCTCCCAACCAAGCTCCCGGAGCTTCTGGCGAGTCACTATCAATGTGTGTGGCCTGGCGTTGTCCTGATGGAACACAATTCCTCTCCTGTTGGCCAAAGCTGGCCGCTTCTGGGCGATTGCTTCCTTCAGACGGTCCAATTGTTGACAGTACAGTTCCGAGTTAAGAGTTTTGCCGTAAGGGAGCAGCTCATAGTAGGTAATTCCCTGCCAATCCCACCAAACACACAGCAAAACCTTCCTGGCCGTCAATCCTGGCTTGGCCACCGTTTCCGCCGGCTCACCGCGATTCGACCTCTCATCTTTCTAACGCCATCTAGTGGAACCCGATCGGACTTACGCGAGATACAGATAACTAAAGCCATCTATTGGAAAAATAATGGATTTCTTTTTACTACACCTGATATATTGCACCAGCATGCTGCACCAGTTCAGGAAGTTCTTTGTAAGAGAGTAGACTTAACATGTTTCCTATGGAAATAGTCCTTTTTTGTCTATATTTTGTTATCATTCCAATATAACTAGCGTTGGAGTAGAACTCTCTGCTCGGAGCCATCTATTGAATTATTTCACTCTACAAATAATTACATATCATCTTATGGTCATTCGTATAGGGAACCATTCAGGTATCGTACGTTAAGTTTAGTTGAGATTACTTGATCCTCATTTGTTCCGAGCCATATATTGAATTGAACTAAACTGAACTACTTAATCCTCTTATTTGTATCTACGTTCTTAGGCTTTCAGTTTTCGTGTTCTTCGATTTTACGCTCGGCAATTCATCGGTAACAATAATCATCAGACCACTTTGCTCAGTGAATCAACGATGTAACAGGTCTTCTTTTTACCGTATCTTACCGGTGCATCGTTCGGAAGACTCACTCCTACGTTACATGGTGGCACGTGCAAATGGCTGTGATACGATATTGTACTTTAACCTGACGAACGTGAGATATAATTGAGAACTTTTAGTAACAGTAAATATTATGTCAGCATTGTTGCCTCTGCAGATTGAGGTATGCACGAATCACCCTTCTATACAGGAGAGATATTCTGAGACTATTCGGGAAGATTCTCCCGATATTTTCCCTGAAGATATTCGGGCATCGTCCAATTATACTGATCAGGAAATCTTCCGGATATTTTCATAATATCTCAATACGGTCCACTCTGCAACTATTAACAACGGCAATGTTCTTATTATTCTTACTTAACGTACGTTGCGTAGTCTTTTTTATTATGCATTATATATGCATAACACAATGTAATAGCAAGCACACTGTCGTTGAAGTTACAGAATAGACCAGGACAGGATTATCTTCCCGCTCGCACGGACAAGTGCATAGACGAACAACTATATTGGGTGGATCGAGAAAACATCTTCCGGTATTCCTGACTCAAGGAACAAGCGTGCCCTCTCTCGCAAGGACTCATCGAAATAAAAAATGGAGGATCACAATGTGTATTACATACAACACATGGATAACATGGAAAGCCAAGCTGATAATTCAAATCCAAATCAAGTACCTAAGATACGATTGATATCGCAATCTGCAAGCGCTCGACCAAGTATTTTACAATCTGCGCGTACTCAACGTTCGGCAAACGTTCAACCTGCAAGTACTTTACAGTTTATAAACACCCATAAACAATCAGCAAGTACTCAACAATTAGTGAGTGTTCAACAGCCATCACTGCCGATCAACAGCCAGTCTGTAAACATTCAAGAGTTTGCAAATACTTCGCAACATATAGAAATTCAACAATTCAAAAATATAAAACAGCCTGTGAGCACTCCACAACCTTTAAGTGCTTTACCTATCACTATTGCACAGTCCTCAAACATTGCACAATCTTCGAATGCTCAAAACTCGACGAGAGATCGAGTCATCGTAGGAAACGTGATACCAGTACCACAAGCACAACTAAGAAAACTTGTCTTGGAGAAGAAACTCAAGCAGGATGGTATGGGGCTTCTGAAAGTGAATTTGCAGAATAATAAACGTGTTAAGTTTGTCTACAAAGCGCATGGTAATGAAATACTTAGTGTAAACATTTTTAAATTTAAAATAACGCTGGTGTATCGTAACTTGTTGCGAAAATGGTATATTAGTCCGGGTTACTCTTTCGTGCCGGAAGTGATAAATCTTAAAGGCATGCTTGTGTCCGGTACGCGTAACCCCGTCTCTGAAGAGGTAGTGAATATAATCTACGATGTGAGATGCTCAATACAAGCTTTCATAACTCGCTTAACCGCCGTGTATGAATTCATCCGCGACGCCCGACGGAGTCATAGGGATATGCAGTTTCATTTGCACCCGGCTCTCCTGACGATGGAACTCATGTGTTCTCAAGACACGTGGCCAAGCGATCTGCGAAAGTCTGATCATAGAGACATTATCATTATAAAATTGACGTTAGATGAGGAAGTTCGAGTTCGCAATATTACTTATACGTATACATATTATTGGACAATGAAAAAAGAGGAGAATGAATGTTTAAGCAAATTGCGGTCTAAGTTGGAAAACTTTTATATTTTCCCCTTGAAGAAGGGGTTTGAGAAATTTATGGGGGGTGCTAGATGGAGAGAACATGATAATTCAGAGTAAAGCTTGCATTTGGTGAACAAAACTGTTGTGCAACTACAATTACAAATTATCTATAATTGATATATACTATTAGATTTATCTGTTATATTCATCTTCTAAAAGTTGATCATTCGACTACTGTGTTTGCTGAAGCCAAGAAAATTAAAGGATTGCTGGATGTGTCAATTATCGCCATTAATTTGCATCTAAAATTGCGCTTTTTTATATTGCTAAATTTTTTGTATCTTTTCTTAGTAACAAGTTAAGTAGCCTAATTTGTAAAAGTAGAGATTATATTTATATATTTATGCATTGGAAGCTTGCTTCTGTGTAGAATCTTTATGTATCTTTGTGCACCTTCAAGTTTATCTTTATTAAATAGGTAAGAGTTTTATTAAGTAGGCAATAAATTAAGATAATAATTTAGTTTGCAATAGATACTTTGCTATAGTATTCTACAGATCGAAATTTTTATTAGTTTTACAAAGCTTAAATCAACGTCCTGGGCAACCAATGAATATGCCCGGCATGCAAAACAAAATGCCTGGTATGGGCATGATGCCGACACAAAGTGGCGGCCCAATGAGCCACATGGGTCCTATCCAAACTATGCAGAACAACTCAATGCTAACTCAGATGAACCAAATGGGACAGGGAAATATTCCTCAACAGATGAACCAAATGGTGCCGGGACAGATGGGCCAATTAGCCACTGGACAGATGCAACAAAACATGCAAGTATGCATTTAACCTTTATCCACTATATTTGATAAGTTATCTTTATCTTTAAGTTATCTTATAAAAATATTTACAACAAATTATTGGTTTGGTTATTCATTTTTCTTCTCTGCCTCTAGTCGCAAATGCAAAATCAGCTGCCGAGTCAGATGAGTAGTCAAATAGGAGGTCCAATAGGTGGTATACAGACTAATATGCCACAGCAAATGAATCAAATTGGCCCTGGACAATTGGGGCCTGGTCAGATGCAACAACAGCTGAATCACATGCAAAGAAAAGTATGCAATTATATACTTGTTTACTATTTTTTTACCATATTGATATAGTAATATATATTTGATATTAAATAATTTTGTTGATCAAGGAAAGAAAAATAATGATATATGTATATTAAATTGATTAACCTTTCAGACCAATTAATCATTTAATTACATTGATATATTATGACACAACTTATCATGATATAATGTATTTGTATTTTCAGCCAAGTGAAATGATGAATACTGGATTTTCTGGTCCGCGTAATGTTACACCTAATCAGTTTCTGAGACAAAGTCCGTCTCCTTCTGTTCCGAGCCCAGCTGGTTTAGGGGCACCATCAAAGTAACTATATTGCTTAACAAACTTACAGAAATATATTTCTACAATTCTTTCTGTTATAGTGTAATCAAAATGGAAAACTAACAATTTTAACTAACATTTTACAGCAATCAGATGGTAGCATCTCCCGCATTAGTACCATCACCAAGCCCGCAGCATGGCATTATGAGTGGGCCGTCTCGTTCCGTGAATTCCGTAGGTAAGCTAAATGATTTAGTATTATTAAGTATAGAACGATTTTTCTTTTTTTAAGATATTCTTAAAAATATTTTAAGAGAAGTTAGACAATAACTAACTAGACAATAACCAGGTATGGCACCGTCGCCAAGCAGTTCGCTGAATACTCCTGGAGGTGTAGGCGCTACACCAAGTCCTCAGCAGGAAGATCAGGCTTACAGAGATAAAGTTAGACAGTTAAGCAAGTACATAGAGCCGTTACGAAAAATGATTGCTAGGATGGGCAGCGAAGGAAGTAAGAAAACATAAATATTATCCTTATAAATAAATTGATTAATAGTAAAAAGGTGAGAATATGTGAATGAGAAATTCGATAGAAAAACTTGTTATAAATTTCTATTTATGTAAACCCAAATGTAACTTCCTCGTTTTTATAAATTTATCAATTTTTTTTTATCTTTTAGGTGGAATTATGAGTTTTTTGATGTCGCGTCTTTTTAGTATCGAACAGTTTTAAAAATGATCTTTTTACTAACTGTGCATATTATCTGTTATTAGATGTCGACAAACTCAGCAAGATGAAGAAGCTCTTAGAAATTTTATCGAATCCTAGTAAACGCATGCCGCTGGATACGTTACTAAAATGCGAAGTCGTTCTGGAAAAATTAGACTTCAAGAGAGGAGACGGCAGCGTCGGGCCACCGGTAACTACGCTAAAGGAACATCAGATCTTCAGTCCGCTGTTAGAAGCGGTGAGTGCGCACCTCCAGAGCCCAATGATCAATCATACATTGCAACGTACGTTTGGACCATACCTGAATGCCTTGTTTGGACCCGAAATAAAGTAAGTATGAAATGACAACAAATCATTACTTTATTCAACAAACATGTAATCGAAAATTTTATATTAACATTTTACAAATTTATATTAACATATACTTTACAAATTAATATGAACATACATTGTACAAATTGATATTAACATACATTTCAAAAATAGAAATTTGCCACCGCCGTTGAAGAAGCAGAAAGTCGAAGAGCCACCAAGTGAGATACCGGACGTACTGCAAGGGGAGATAGCCAGATTGGACCAACGATTTAAGGTATGTAATAATTTAATCCTTTGTTACATAGTGTCCCGTGTATGATCTTTTTTTCATGACATCATAGAACTGACAGTATATTTTATTTCAAATTTCATGTAGTAGTAAAATTTCATTAACATTTAATTTGGATACTTTGTTTACCTTTGTCCAAAAATTGCTTTATACTATATCACATATAAAATGATTTAAAAAATTAATAAAATAAAATATCAAAAGTAAAAAATTATAAACTAGAATGTATAAAAAATATATAAGAAATTAAAAAAATATGGAACTAGAAATTCGCCATAGTTCCGGATTATATTAAAAGTGATAAGTTTTTATTAAAAAGTAGCAAAAAAAATTTTTATATTGAAACCGCCATTTTATATTTTTTTAATTTTAACTGTAGATTTGAAATCAGAAGCCTAAAATAATCTAACATATAAAATTTTTATACATAAACAATCCATAATCAATTATTTTCTGCCATAATTTAACCGCCATGTTGAATCCATTATTTTAATTTTTTAAACTTCGACTTCAGATTTGCAATTAGCAAAACCTCAAAAACCTTTATATACACATATATTTAAGCAAAATATATTCAGCAGAAAAATTTGTGCAATAAAGAGTTAAAGTCTCAATTACTACTCGTCTTTTGAATCTCGTTAGTTACAATTGTCTATCGATTCACCACGCATATTTCATACGCTTTTGTAAAAAATAGAAGATTCGTAGCGCAAGAACGATCTAATCAGAATTGTGATTGAAGCTAGTTGTGTTTTGTTGAAAAGGAAGACGCAAATTGTTGGATGTTTTTATAATAGTTTTGAATCTTTGCATATACGCATACATTTACATCTACAGTTGGCTAAGAAAATCAACTCTTCGCAGAAGAGAGTCAGATATGTAAGAAGTTAATTGCTCTTTTATTTCAGGTCAGTCTAGACCCAGCGCAGCAGAACGGTTCGAAATGCATCCAACTAATATGCTGGCTCGACGATCGTCATCTTCCGTGCGTCCCGCCAGTCTCGGTTACAGTTCCTGCGGATTATCCTTTAACACCGCCTCGTTGCGTCATGGCACCGCACGAATACGAAGCGACGCCATTTCTCTGCGCCGTTCAAAAAGCTCTGAACGCGCGTATCGCAAAGCTTCCACGTCGTTTCTCACTTTCGCAATTATTGGACACGTGGGAAATGAGCGTGAGACAAGCTAGCGCACCGACGCAGGTAAACGTGACTGCTAGTACAGTATTAATGGGTTTGTAGCATCTCTGAAAAGAATTCCCATTAGTATTATATCCAATGAAATTAATTCTAGATTTATTTCAATTTTCTTTTTAATTCAATTTTGTATGTGTGTATCGTAATATATTGTAATATATTGTAATGAATACAGATAAGAGTTTTATTAAATAATAATGTGTAAAAAATATATTTGTATGTCATCGGTACGATGAAATCTCTTTGGATGACTATAATTATCAATCTTTTATATACATATATGTGAATGTGATAATTACAATTGTCCAAAGATTTTGTTGTATCGACTATATATTATATATAATTATATGCATATATATATATATATATATACACACACACACACACACAGGGTGTCTCAGAACTTTGGGACACGAGCTCCGTAGGGACATAGAACTAAGTGAGAGGAACAGAAAAGTCCTGTACCATAACGTGAAAATCGTAATAGTTTTTTAGTAATAACCGCATAAAGTTTGGCGTTTTCCACGCCCATCGCAACCTATAAACGCTCCGTGGCAAGCTGTGTGCGTAGGGGCTGAGCGATAACGTGTCTCACGCTGACTGTCGCGATGGCTTCTTAGCGCTTTGACGCCGCGCGACGGTCAGCGCAAGCTGCGTTATCGTTCAGCCCCTACGCGCATAGCTTGCTGCGGAGCATCTATAGGCCGCGCTGGGCGTGGAAAACGCCTAACTTTGCGCTGTTATAATTAAAAAACTATTACGATTTTCACATTATGGCACAGGACTTTTTTGTTCCTCTCACTGAGCTCTATATCCCTACGGAGTCCGTGTCCCAAAGTTCTGAGAGACCCTATATATGCATACATACGATTATATATTTATATATACATAAAAATCGATGTCTCAAAGTTGATATAGTTTTTTATAAACCACTATTTTAGTTTCCACATTCATAAGGAATTGATAAAAGACAGATTTTTATAAAATATCTTTACATACACATGCACCTATATTTATATGTATATATACATTCATAATACATTTTATATATATATATATATATAACACATCACTCAATAAGTTCGTAGGATGACATATAAATGGCGCTACTATTGACAAATCCATATGATTTTTAGGAAGTACTAACCTTCAAATGATACGTGTCAAAATTTCATGATAATCGGACGTTTAGTTCACAAGTTACAGTGGTTCGAAGTGGGTACTGCGTTTGCTCACAGTCAATCAAAAACAGCAACGCGTCGACGATTCAGCGGGCTGTTTGGAGCTGTATCAGTGCAATAAAAAGAATTTTTTGATGCGGTATGTGACAATGGATGAAACATAGATCCATCACTACACTCCAGAGTCAAATCGGCAGTCAGCTGAGTGGACAGTAACCGGCAAAACCTGCCCAAAGCCGAAACTGAAGCCTATTTTGAGGCCAAAGATAAATCGTTCTACAAAAAAGCCATCAAAATGTTAGAGAAGCGGTGGAATCAATGTATCACTCTTTAAGGAGACTATGTAGATGAATAAAGTCAAATTTTGCCTAAAAGTTGTTGTTTTATTAGTCATTCTGCGAACTTATTGAGTGATGTGTTATATGTATATATATATATAAAAGTGTACATATAAAAGAAATTGTAATAATGTTTAAAGACTATAATCATTAGAATTTAACATTCTCGATCTGACATAATATAATAGTGTGTAAATATATCATACTTGCGCGTTAAAACTAATGAGTCATCATTATATGGCATCATTATATGGCACTTTTTGGTCAACAAGTTTTAATTATCAACAAGTTTAATATTAAAAAATAAATTTCTCTTACCATGATTTCCCTTAGATGAGATATATATACAGTATATATATATATAACAGTATATATACATAACATCTCATCCACAGTTATAATTACCAATTATAAATTATATTCTGTATAAGAAAAACTCATTATTAGCCATTCATATACACTCAAATCTTAGAGATATGTTCCGTTTGATAAACGAAATTGTTTGACAGCAAATAATTGATCTCCTTAGTTTGATACTTCAATTCTGTCAAGATCTCTATACTGTTTTCGCCAGGCTGTGAATTTTTACGAGTTCCTGTAGAAATGCCGGGTGTACGAGACAGACGGGGAGAAGGATTCGGTATCACATCGTCTCCTATGGTCGTGAAAGTCCCCTGATACTGATTATGAATGTGCGAAGCAGCATCCTTCAGACTCAGCAGCGGTGTCACACACGCATCGGTGCCATCGAATATAGCACACCATTCCGCCTGGGTCTTCTGCTTGAAGATTTCCGTGATCCTACAGCGATTCTCTTCGAAATTCTCGAATTGCGACACCTCGTCGCTCGTGAGACCGAGCTTCTTTAAGAAAATTTCATAAAACTGTGGCTCTAAAGCTCCTACACACATATAACGATTGTCCTTTGTCTCGTACGTGTCGTAAAAATGCACACCGCTGTCTAATCTATTGAACAAATAAAGGAATTTTTTTAAATTAAAAAGAAAAATTGAATAAGATAAAAGGCAACCGAGTATCTGGAGAAAATACCTACATATTTTTACCGCGTGGCCTTCCCCATAAAAATGGCATTTTCTGCGATCTGAATAACCATGAGCCTAAATATGCGGACCCTTCCACCATAGATGCGTCCACCACTTGCCCGACATTGCTCTTATATCGCTCGTATAGCGCCAAAATTATTCCAAAAGCGCACATTAAACCACCGCCACCGAAGTCAGCAGCCAGATTAACGGGTGGTGTGGGTTTTTCATTGTATCGGCCAAACAGAGACAGTAACCCTATATTTCAAATTTATATCATTCTTGTAAAATGATTAGATAGTTTCTATTAGTAAAATATATAGGATATAAAAAGGATGAGCTGACTATGTGTAATTGGTTACATTTTTTTCATCAAGACAAATTAAAAAATTATAAACATAGTGTTTAAAATGCTTAGATGAAAAATTAAAGTCGAGACAAAGTTAATGGAATTAATTTTGATTTTAACACAATATTCATACAATAATATTTATTTAAATTTTAGAAATTAAAGATGCTCAAAATAACCACCACATGAAACAATACAATTTTGGATTCTTTGTACCATGAATTATCTTGCATGTTCAAATATTCCTCTTAAAAGTCGAATAAATACAATATTCTTATTACGTATTATTCAATGTCCATCTTCTAATCTGTATAAAAGTTGTTCACTGTCAACCGGAACTGAGTAAACAAATACTTTTCAAACAATCTCACAGATGACAGTCAAATAGATTTAATAATTTAAATAAATACATATTATGTATTACATTAACATTGAAATTAATTCTTTTAATCTTGATTTGACATTAATTTTTTAATTAAGCATTTTAGGCATTATGTTTATGCAAACTTTTTTATTTGCTTGATGAGAAGAATATAACTATATATAATCAACCTATCCTTATTGAAACATCATATATTGTTGATAACAATATGTGATTATAAACAAAGTTGACATAGAGATGAATGTTACTTGGTTGAATGTACAATTCAGTATATACAAAATTAGTATATAACAGATAACATATTACAGATAACAGATTACATATTTAATTATGCAATTTAATTACACATTTAATTATACATATTCTTACCAGATAAGCCTAAATAATTAATATCATGGCCAGCCATGTCTGCGTAAGGGCCAACTTGACCAAATCCTGTTAATCTAGCATATATTAACTTCTTATTGCTTGTCATGAGATCCTTTGGCCCAATCTTTAATTTTTCCATAACACCTATTAAATATAGATTTATAATATACATATGAAATGTATGTGTGTAGATACAAATTTTTCTTTCTCAATGATATAACAATTTTATTTCTTATCATATATCACTAAAATAAAACTAAAAAAAACTAAAAAATCATCTAATTTAACTAATTGTAAAATCCAAATTCAAATTTCAATATTATTTGGATAAAAAATCTAACAGCTAACATATTAGGTCTTAACCAGATATTATTAAAATTAATTGATGCTAATATATCAAATACATGTACCTCTCCTATATGTATCAATAATAACATCACTTTGGTTGCTTAATTTTTTAAAGATTTCGATACCCTCTTTTGATTTCAAATTTAATGCTATTGATCGTTTCCCATGGCCTAAAGAATCAATTGCTTGAGCTCCAATCTATGATATAAATTAAAAAAATAAATACTTTGATAAGATTTGAAATTATATCTAAACCATAATAAACAAAAATATTTTTTCTAATATGTTTATTTCCACACATATGAAATATAAATCTCAACTTTAAAAATTTTTGCAAAATTTGTATTATTTACTCAGTAAACAATTTGTTGATAGATAATAATAACAGTAAATAATCTGCTGACAGATTGGCAACAAATTCAATCAGGATCTGTTGACAAATTCAGACATCCGTATCTATATTTAGCTTGTGTTCTACCAACAGCCTGACAAAATTTTACAACAAATGGGCAGCAGAAAATGAACAGGATCTGCAGTGTTTCACTTATTAAATATTTGGAACAGATATTATTAAATATATTGGAACAGATCTTGCTTGGTTTCTGCCAGTCTGTCATCAGATTGTTATATTTCTGCTAGCAAACTGTTAACAGAATCTGCAGTAGAAACTATGTAAAATTTGCTTTTGTAGTTTTGACTGTCTGAGCAATTACCTTATCTATTCTGATGACAGATGCTCCAAAATCTGCCAAGACCATGCCACAGAAAGGTCCTGGAGCAAGCCCAGCTAATTCCAAAACCTTTATTCCTTTGAGAACCATATTTACTACACTTCTGATATATAAAAAATATTTTATCTCAATTAATGTCAATTAATGATTGTCAATAAGCAATTAATGTTATATATGTTTATATGATTCTTGTTCTTCGAAATGTTCTATTTCTTTTCTTACTGAGACACTTGGTCTTCATGCATCAATGCACCGTTATGTACTATGTACTTTGTACCATGAATTTCATTTTTTATAATAAACCATTTATATTGATAAGAATTTCAATAAGATAATATGAATTATTAAGCAGAATAATAGTTTTAATTTATAACTCATAACAGCTTTAAAACATAATTTTGTCTCTTTTGCATATTGCATGCATCTTAACCACTGATAGAGCAACTCATTAAATTATGCTATATAAAGTATATATAGCATAGGTATATAAATAGTAAGTACGTTATATAAATTATAGTGAGAAAAAGAGGGGAAAGAGAGAGAGAAAGAGAAGGAAGGAGAGAGAGAGGGAAAGAGAAATATTAATTTATTTGTATTAACCACAAAATTGATATTCTTTTATTATTAATTTATCACTTCGAACTAATCAATGTTTACAACAATTACAATTAATCTATATGTATATATTTCACTAAACAATATATAATTTAACTCAATGCTCAGAATTACTTTCACTTTTCAGACGATTTTCGGGAGTTTGCTCTCACTTTCCTTTACCTTTTTTTTTTGGGTAACGCGGGGGAAATCCATCATGGATACCATCGACCCCTTGGGGGGGTCGGAGGTTATGTCAGACTCTTAAGGTCATTCTATACGTGTCGTAAGTTGTAAGCCGTAAGAATTGGCGAATCACAGTCGATTATTATAAAAATAATGGGCTATAATTGGTCAGTTCTTACGGCTTACGACTTACGATACGTATTGTAGAATGACCTTAAAGCATAGTCTACAATGGCCGCAAGCAGTAAAAAGTAAGTATGAACAGTAAAGCTAAGACTCCATGCATGCGGTGAGCTGCGGCAAACGGTTGCGGTGACCAATCAGGAGGGAGGCGCAAGTCCGGGTGCGGCAAGCTCCGGCATGCGTCTGTCTCCTGATTGGTCACCGCAGCCGTTTGCCGGAGCTCACCGCATGCATGGAGTCTTAGCTTAAAGCTAAAGCTAAGACTCCATGCATGCGGTGAACTGCGGCAAACGGTTGCGGTGACCAATCAGGAGGGAGGCGCAAGTCCGGGTGCGGCAAGCTCCGGCATGCGTCTGTCTCCTGATTGGTCACCGCAGCTGTTTGCCGGAGCTCACCGCATGCATGGAGTCTTAGCTTAAGAAATGGACCAACCACAGTTGATTATTTTTGTCATAATCGACTGTGATTGGTTTATTTCTTACCGCTTACGCTTACTTCTTACTGCTTACTGCCATTGTAGACCACGCTTAAGGTCATTCTACAATACGTGTCGTAAGTTATAAGCCGTAAGAATTGACCAATTATAGCCGATTATTTTTGTAATAATCGACTATGATCCACCAATTCTTACGACTTACAACTTACGACACGTATTGTAGAATGACCTTTATCAGTAGTTGCAATTATAGATAATTTTAAGCGTGGTCTACAATGGCAGTAAGCAGTAAGAAGTAAGCGTAAACGGTAAGAAATAAACCAATCACAGTCGATTATGACAAAAATAATCAACTGTGGTTGGTCCATTTCTTACTGTTCACGCTTTCTTCTTACTGCTTACGGCCATTGTAGACCACGCTTTACAGCTATTAGTAAACTCTTCTTAAGGCCCATCTACAATGGCTACAAGAATAAGGTTATAAGCGTAAGCAGTAAGAAATGGACCAACCATAATCGATTATTCTTATAATAATCGATTGTGGTTGGTCTATTTCTTACTGCTTAAGGCTCTTGCAGACCAGCGCGATGCGCGACGCGACACGCGATACGCGACACACGATCGCAAGAATAGATCTTTTCATGTCTTCGTATAGACGTGATGATCTTTTCAATTGGTCTGTTCTTTTTAATAGCACTACTGAACTGATGCAATAAGTTAGAGTGAGACAAATATATTTTTCTCGCTCTAACTTATTGCATCAGTGCAGCTAAAAAGAACAGAACAAATAGTGTATGCCAAGCTTGTAGGACGCAAAATACTGACAGCATTTTTTCAATGGAATTATTAATGAAAAGAAACAGTTTTTACTTTTATTATATCTTTCGCGAATAAATAATAGAGAAATTGATACAAATATAAAATGTTTATCTTGTTTGTAGCTGCACTATCACTTGCAATATAACTATTATTTTCTTTGTATTTTCTTAGAAATGTATTTCGTAAATTTTTCCACTTTTTTTTACAAATATTAAGGTCTGTATCTTTTTAAGTAAAAATGACAATTATATATTAAATAATAAAAGTGTAACAATGTAAAAATTTAAATAGTGAATAAAATAAATGAATCTTTTTTAAGTACATACTAAGGGCTCGACCCACTTCTTCTCAAGCTTTTTGTATATATTATGTTCATTTCTCTCATTTTTATATCCAATCTATGATCCCATAAACATGACCTTTCTTGTACTTCTGATACTAAAATTTCTTCAAATACTTCAAATGCTTGTGAGTTTAAAGATTTATTGGGCTGAAAATTTAATATATAAATAGAATTTAGTTAAAATGACTATTGTTAAACAAATGATGTCATTCAGTGATTAACCTAACATAACTAAAACTAATTAATAATTATTTATACTTACATCTATATTTTCTATCTGCTTCCATATTTTCATCGAAGTATTCATAATCTTCATAATCTGCCATAATAAATTGTACGATACAGAACTTTCAGTTTCTTCTGTCGTTAATATACCACTGACAAGAATTACGATATAAGACAACAATTTGTGCAATTCTTCATCTCTAACTTTTTACCACTCAAAACAGCGTGGTCTGTAACGCGTGCATGAAAAGGGGAGAGAGAGAGAGAGAGAGAGAGAGAGAGAGAGAGAGAGAGAGGGAGAGAGAGAGGGGGAGGGGGAGAGAGAGAGAGAGAGAGAGAGAGAGAGAGAGAGAGAGAGAGAGAGAGAGAGAGAGAGAGAGAGAGAGAGAGAGAGAGAGAGAGAGAGAGAGCGAGAGAGAGCGAGAGAGAGAGCGAGAGAGAGAGAGAGAGAGAGAGAGAGAGAGAGAGAGAGAGAGAGAGAGAGAGAGAGAGAGAGAGAGAGAGAGAGAGAGTGAGAGAGTGAGTGAGAGAGAGTGAGAGAGAGTGCGAGAGAGAGTGAGATTGAGAGAGAGAGAGAGAGAGAGAGAGAGAGAGGGAAGGAAAGAAAGAGTAGGGTAAAGAGAAAGATAGTGAATATTTATATATATGTATCTCTCTCTCTTCCCCCCCCCCTCTTCTCTCTCTCTCTCTCTCGCAGTATTTTGACACAACCTCTCTCATGATCAAAATCTTATTAAAAAGTTTCTGAAATTACTGAAAAATTATTCCGTAAGGGATAATTGCTGTCAAGCTCCTATCTGACTGGACAAAACGATTTAAGGTGGTTCGATTTCTTTTCGATACAGATTTAATGGCCGCAAAAATGTTTGAACAATCAACTACGCTTTTTCCTTATAAAATATAATATTTTGTTTATTGCAATATTGAATTAAAAAATGATTGAAAAATGATATTAAGTCATAAATCGACGAAATAACGCTTTAGATAGTTCAAACAAGTTATATATTTTACATCAGAGCTCGGCAAAGTTTACAACTTTCGGCCGATTTTCGGAAGCTAACGCCTTCTATCTCCCCTTACCGCGCGGCGGATCCAGCAACTGACGGTCGCGGCTCGCGACCTCAGGATCGTTGAGATCATAAGGCGCATCTATGTGGTGCCTACTAAAGATGCGTTTGGGGAGCGCGTCGATCAGCGCTAACGCGTCATTCAATCCTTGTACATGTAACGAGCGATAAAGACAGAATAACGTGTTAACGTTGACAATGCGCTCCTTTAATGCACCTCAAAGACTGAAAAATAAATGTATCGATACAACTATATGTATAATATTTCGTACAAACATGTACAAATATATACTTGTATAAATATATATATTTTTTTTCTTATATTTTTATAATTAGAAGGTAACATAATAGGTTTCCTCGTCACCCATGAGGTACTATTGCCAATGCGTTTTTTTTTTTAAACCACATAGATGCGCCTTATGATCTCAACGGTCCTGAGGTCGCGAGCCGCGACCGTCAGTTGCTGGATCCGCCGCGCGGTAAGGGAAGATAGAAGGCGTAGCTTCCGAAAATCGACCGAAAGTTTGTCGAGCTCTGTTTTACATTGTGCCGAATTTATTTGTTTATTATCTGTAATTTATATATCGTTTATATAAGTGTGCGGTTATTTGATGCTTTTTACAGTATTTTGTCTGGAAAGCGTTTCGTTTGTCGAGGAATTTGTACAATCCCGAGTAAGTAGATTTATTGTTGATGTAAAATATCCTTTATAGAAAAAACATTTAAATATGAAATGTTTATACTCAATATTTGAATGTGTTTTTCTCTAAGCGATGTCTCAGTTATACAGGGTGTCCAGGGTCTTTTAGAAACGAAAAATCGTGAAGATTAATCAGATCAAACTGAAAAGAAAAGTCAAGTTACAAAAATCACAATAGTTATTAAGTTATTAATGATTGAAAATGACCACATCTAGAAGCTCTTTTAATTGGTAACTTATTGTACTTATTTGCAAGTGGTAAGGGACTTTTTTGTTCAGAATGAGCCAATCTACAATGACGGCTGTTGTGTCTAGCGATAGATATGAATATATTGAACTTCGAACCCTGAATCTTGAACCTGTCGCTAGGCACAATAGCCGTCATATAATTGTAGATTAGGTCATTCTGAACACAAAAAAATATATATATACCACAATGTGTTTTTCACATTTAAAATCGTTCACCGACCTAACTTGTTACTACCCTACTCGGCCTGCAGGTTTGCAATCATGGAGACTACGGATTTAAACACGGCCCTGTACGTGGCTGTCACCTACGTTCAATAAAGACACGCGTGCGCCGTTGACGGGTCTCGTTGCACCCTCCGATGTCAGAATTCGGCGGGGCTAGTGCTCTTCAATGGTAAGAGTAAAGTTCCTTATCACCGGCTAACACTTCTCTTCAGCTTGTGTCGGATCCGTGCGACACGATTTCGTGATACACGTGCAAGATGGACGAGTTTACCTGAGCGCCGTCGATTTATTTCGTGTGTTCGGTGCTCCATTTGAGATTCCGAAAACGGAACATAGTCGAGAAAACAGGAAAAGAGAGAGAGAGAGCAGAGTGGATGGAGATTTAACGTTACTGTTGAAGGTTTTACACGGACTTTTTCAATTTTGTTCCTGCGTATTTTAGTTTAAACGCTCGTCTTGTCGCGACATCTTCTCCTTCGATTTCAACTTACATTCTATCCCTGTACCCCTTACATATGTTGGTTTCATATTTTTATATATTCGTATAGATAAATATATATTAAAATATTTTTCAACAGTTTAACGGTATCTCATTTTTTCTTGCTAGAAGAACTCGCTGCAAAATCTCGTAAACTCTTTTGGAGAGGCGGCGAAAATAGTGTTGAATTGACAATGATTCTTGCATGTCGATAATCTGAGACTATTACTACTAAGATTTGATCTTTGATCATTGGAACGGTGCAGATGGTGATATTTTTGTCAATAGATTAGGAACATAATTTGATTGTCCGATACGCTTTGTATATTGATTCGTCTTTATATACTTCCGTTGATATACCCTTCGATTGTATTTGTGTAATGTCGCGGGTCGTAACATCTTGGCGCTGTTAATTTCGATTTACAGATGAGAGCATTGGACACAATCATGAATTCGACCTGTGCCTCTTGCACCCTCGAACCTCCCCCCGACATCCTCCACATACCACCACCGCCGTTTCCGGCTATTCTGCAGCAGGGTTCTGACTTTTATCCAAGCAGTGACATTCTGCCATTCCTGCCGCACCTAAATGACAGCCCCTGCAAGCACTTCTGCGATCGGCGCTCTGAAGGTGTTCAATATATCGAGATGCCTCAGCAAGGTTGGTAAAGAGGCCAGAAATATTTATAAAAAAAAGAAAAAAGAAGAGAATAAAGACTTTCAAGGATTAATATAGAAAATATAATAAAGATAACATCTGAGAGGATCAGATCTGAGGACGCATAATGCAAACTTTCAGGCACTGTGTTCGACGACACATGGCTCCTGATTTTGATATCATCATGCGTCGGCGTCACTTTCATCGGCATAGTGCTAGCAACATTGTTCTTAAAGTGCAAATTGTAAGTATATCCCTTTGATCTCACGACAGTTTCCCATCATAAATATAAAACCTTCACGCACACACGTTATCCTCTCATCCCCTCCAAAATGATCGCACTCCTAACTTTGCTCTCGTGCCTCTCTTCGGAACTTTCTTTTTTCTTCTTTTCTGATACATCCAACGAGACGCACGACTCGAATATGATTCGCCGTAGCAACAGGAGCGGCAAGAGCGGTGTGATCTCCATGCCGAACGCGGCCTCCGGCATGCAAACGAAAAACGGTAGGGTCCAAAATGAGGCGGTGCTGTATCCGTGCGCGACCGACACCATGCAAGACAGCCGAGTGATGTGGGCTACCCTTACGCCACGTGGTACCACCAGACACTACCTGGAAGAGCACACATACGAGACCATCGGTGGTGGGCAGTTTCAAAAGCGCGCCTGTACGACCACACCAACCGAACATGTAAAACTCAAGGCAATTTAACAATACGTTTGTATTACGTGATTATTACTTCTTACGCGTACAAAGTGTCCCCGGCCTGACCAGAGCCACCTTTTCTCTCGTTCGCCCACTGATCTTGTTTTACCTCTCTCTTTCTCTCTGTCGATCGATTTTGAATTCCCAAAGAGGAACTTAACAATCACAGGGATAGTCTCGAAAGATAGCTCGGTCAGTCTGCGGACACCGTATACACGCCTAATGCCTGAAAAACAACAATCCCACTGAACGTTTAACCGCTTGTCTCTCACCGTCGTGAGTAAGTGGAACGCCACGATAGAGCGTAAACCGATGTCCTTCTAGACTTACGCCGATCCGCCAGCCGTTAGCCCGGTGCAAAGTCGGCCGAAGGACGATAAGGCTTTCGACAACACCGCGTTCGTGGATTACGAGGAGCCTTTGTCTGTCAAGACCGAGTACTATCAGCTCAACGACGTCTTGGAACCGAACGATTCCGGTAATCCCACTCTCGATCCTTCTTTGCCCAGCCCCACAGCTCGATGTGGCGGCCTATCTTTATTACGAAACGTGTCTCACCGAGGCGGTGGCACGTGATAATAATCCACCCATCGCGTGGTGTGTAATTTTAGGCATTCTCACGATTCAACGTGGCACCCTGCGCCCGCGTGTGAGTTCTCCGACGAGAATCGAGCACCCGAACCTACCCCCGTTGAACCTCCATCCCCACAAGCGCGCATCTCGCAAGGGTTCCGGGGCGCAGCACACCTCGGACACGCTGCTGCGAAGCAGCATCACATCGTCCACTTATATTCCCACCATATAAGCGCCCGTTCCTCCTTCACTAACTCCCCTCCCCTTCGGCCCTTCCACGTCCCAAGTCCTTCTTGCCGTCTATCGTGTTCTCGTCGTCGCCACACCATTTCGCCGTTGAACTTCGCCGATTTGCGAAACTCGTCGCCGCACCTCTCGTATCCTCCGACACGCGCATCATTCGTATCTAGTCATTGTCAGCACGTACCACACCGAATACTATAATGGCGTTTTATAATGGCCGTTTCTACCAACCGTGATTAATTTAACCGGCTGATTATTTCGTCGGAACTGACCAATCCCACTCGCCAATTCCGATTGACGACAGATGCAATTGGTCAGTTCCATTGGAACAAACCAACCCATTAAGTTAACCAAGGTTGATAGAAACAGTCATAAGTCGTCAAATTAACCCTTATGTTCCGCTCGATTCTATATAAAAAAAAAAATTGAAAAGAAATTTAATTCTACATAAGCTTTTTTATATCTAATTGTTAGTACTCTATATTTCACGACTTTGTTTTCGTGGACTTTTCCTAAATGGAATATACACAAAATCGAAGTAGAATACAGAGTACTAACAATTAGATATAAAAAAATTACGTAGAGTTAAATTTCTTTTTGGTTTTTTTTTTTATAGACCCAAGCAGAATATAAGAGTTAAGAGCGACGATTAGTCGTGCGATGTGTGTGGTTCTTTTTTATCGATTGATATGTGACGTGATTGTGTAGACGTAGAGTATGTAGACTCGACTGCAGAGTAAACAGCGTATATGTGTATGTTACATTTGCATCTTACGGAATAAAACAATACGTAGAAAACTGGCGTTGTTGTTAATACTATTACAATTACATTACTGATTGTTTTGTGCATATTGTTATTATTATTATTGATTACTTTTTACTATATCGTTTACTGAGGAGAAAAATTGACCAATTTAACGCGACGATAATGAACGAGGCAAACGCGCTTTGCTCACAGAAAACAGAATCTCTGGGGTTCTTATGACCCAAATTCGGCTCCACAAGCTCTATTTCTTGCAACCGAGATACATTTGGCTCATTCATCGTCATGTTAATTTCACCAGTCTTTTTTCCATATTATTGTCATTATATTATTATTGTTATTATTATTATGGATAACCGCAAGTCACAAGATTAAACGCGTCATGTTTTCTTACTTCCTTTCCGTTTCGATCGTTTTTATATTTAACAGGGTCACACAAAGGTGTTTCTCGCGCGTCCGATAGAATATATTAGGAAGTTGAATTAATTCTTATTTTGTAAATTTGCATCAATCAAAATATTTTCCGTCGTTAACTGTGACTCTTTTCCATCTTTCTGGCAACACAGCGATTTCGCGACGATAGAACAATCTGTCTTTCGAAGCAATCCAATCAGAGCGACTCATTTTTGCACATCGTCGTAATTATTTAAGTGTGTATCTGCCAAAGCGTGCTGCATCGATCGGAATGGTAAGCAAATAGTATTAGATCTTGAGAGTATGCTGGGTGCGGAGGATTTCCCATTCAAGCCCTAACAATGTTTGTTTGACGATTAAAGCAACATGTGGACGAGCATTATCGCGCAAAAGAATCATTTTGCGTCTATTGCTGGCTATCGCTGGCCTTTGCTGCATCAATTCATCATTCAGTTTGTTCAATTGTTGCTGGTACCGCTCCCCTGTAACTGTTTCATTCGGTTTTAGAAGCTCATAGTACACCACACCTTCAATATCCCACCAAATACAGAACATTGCTCTGTGACCATGAATGTTTCATTTTAGTGTCGATGTTGATGGTTGTTATGAATTAATCCTTGATCTTTTTTGCTTCGGACTTTCAAAATAAATCCACTTTTCATCTTCAGGTACAGTTCGCCACAAAAAATTATTTTTTCTGTCTGCCAAGCAAAGGCATGGAGATATTTAAACAATTTGCAATGGCACTCTCACTAAATTCATGTGGAACCCATTTGCCTTTCTTTTGAATTTTTCCCATGGCGTGTAGGTGTTTAGAAATTGTTAATTTATCGACATTGAGTTGTTTAGCCAACTGTTTGTCCGTTTGAGCGGTGTTTTTATTCAATAATGCTTGGAATCTTTGAATGGAATGCAGAATCTTTGAATTTTTTGGCTGACCAGAACGTTCTTTGTCACTCAAATCGAAATCACCATTTTTGAATCGTTGAAACCAAAATTTACAGTTGGAATACGATAGAGCTTGATTACCATAAGTTGTAACATGCTTTCATGAGCTTCAGTTGCCGATTTTTTCAAATTAAATAAAAAAAATACTGAAAGTCGAAAATGCAATTTTGTACGACCCATCATTTTAGATGCGTATAAACAATGAAACTATCAGTAACAATAGCACGCAAAATGTCACATAAAGATGTCTTTCAGTGTTGCCAGATTTCAACATTCGTACTAACCATCAACTTATTATTAAAGCCATCTATTGCTAGGGAACTAATTTAACCTCCTAATACGAAGGTCATTCAAATATAAACCGGATTTTTTACCTGCGGACTCGGAAAGAGCCGCAAGCGGGCCGAAGCGTTTCAAGCAGTTAGGAAGTAGAGATATATGGAGGAGAGCGACCCCCCGCAACATTCCTCAGTTGCTGTTCCCTCATCAGTAACACCATGACTGAACAAGAGGTACCTACGATTGTTGCGCAACGCATTATCATCCGATTTCTCGCTAACGAAGGCGTCAAACCAACTGAAATTTTGACCAGACTCCAAGCACAATTTGAAGATAATACCCTGTCAAGAACCCAAGCGTTTGATTGGACCAAAAAATTTCGCAGTGGTCGTAATGCTGTGGAAAACGAAAGTCACGAACGTCGTCCGCGATCGAGTGTCACTGATGAGAACATTCGGGCCGTTCGCGAACTTGTGGAAGATGACCGGCGCTTAACTGTTGTCGCTTAACTGTTGTCGAAATCTCATCGGAGCATAAGTATTGGGAGTGCTCACACAATTCTCTCAGAATACCTTGGATACCATCTACTTCTCCATGACAACGCGCGGCCTCATACAGCAGCCTTAACCCGCGATAAACTCGGAGAAATGTACTGGACACCTCTTGAACACCCTCCTTACAGTTTCGATTTATCCTCATGTGACTTTCACATGTTTGGACCCCCGAAAGAGGCTTTAGGAGGGGAAAGATTTAACAACGACGCAGCGGTTGAGTATTACGTGCGCAACAGGCTGTTCGAGCGCCCTTCTACTTTTTTTGATGAAGGGGTCAAGAAACTACTTACCAGGTGGAGAAAATGCATTTCCGTTGAAGGGAACTAGGCAGAAAAATAATATATCGCTTTTGTAATTTCATCTGTTACCAATAAATCTGTAAAAAAAATCCGGTTTATATTTGAATGGCCCTCGTACGTGACGTCGGAGGGGCAAATCGAAATATCTTCAGTGTGCACAGTTTCAATACTTTATTCATATAATTTCGTAGTTACGGCATTATTTCTATATATTTACAATGTCCCTAATGTCTCGGGAGAATATCAGTAATGCGTCAGTGCGCGCACTACGTTACTCACATGTGTATATGCGTGTGTGTATCTGCACTCTTCTTATCGTTTTCTCCTATTTTCCTTCCCACTTTTTACTTCTTCTTCTTCATTGCGAGAGATTAACGTGAAAATGTATTTCCCTTGAAGCTGATGAAAACACTATTTCAATATTTATATATATAACCGATATGGCAAGCTCACACAGTGTTCGCCTCGTCTCTCTATTATCCTCCTTCAACGAGCGCGCGCAGGCGCACGCGAAATATATATCATGCTCTAATTTAATTAAAATGTGAATGTGTATAGCGCGTGGATCAAACATACCGTCCGCTCTTTCGCGATCGCCGGCGACGTCGCGTTAAATATAAAAAATAGTCGTTTCACTCAGCTCCGGTCCGTTCCTGCCGACTGTAAACTATATACCAGGCGAAATGATAACGGGTAATTCGATCGAGGCCCAGCTTAAAGGTACGCCGCATAGGGAAGGCGAACACTAACGAAACGGGACCCTCCGCCTTGTTGACATGTAAAAAATCTAAACGCACCATATACGTCTATCCCGTATTTACCGTATTTATTTATATATCATATGACCTGTGTGTGTGGAACAGAACGGCCAAATTCGATCCTGCGGGACCGTGTTGGCCGGCGACGATTCATCCTAGCGCTGTGCGACGCATCTTTCCGCAACGTCCGGCCCGAGCTACATCGCCGGAGATCGAGAGATCGAGACATCCCATACCGTCCGTGAAATTTCCCTCGCTACGGATCGACGCGATTTCGACCAGAATGGAGTTTAAAGGAATCTTGCTCGACAGTCAAATACACACGCGAACAAAATCGAATGTTGAAGTAACATGCTCTTCGTTTCTTTGCATCGTCTGTTCGTCGGTGTCAAACTCTATGCGAAATTGTCGACGATATCTCGAGAGTGTCGCGTCTTTTCTCGTCCTATTCTCCCTTCTCTCTCTCTCTCTCTCTCTCTCTCTCTCTCTCTCTCTCTCTCTCTCCCTCTCTCTTGTCGGGTTTAATGTTTTCGCTCAACAACAAAGATCCGTGTACAGCGCCAGTCTGCGCAACACAATCCGCTCGACGACACGTTCTCTTCACCACCTCGGGGATCAGCCATCTGCGCGTGCATACGTCTTCTACTATACATACATACATACAACGTGTCGTAGAAATTCGCAGCCAGTCGACAACGAAAATGTGTCTGCTCCTGTGTGGCATTCCCTTCTCAGCCCTTGTACGCTCGTGCCTCTCGGTATCACACTCTCTCAGTTTCTTCCGCCTTGCCTTCATGTTCTCGCCCGATACGCGAACATAGTTTACTATCTATAGTCCATAGTGCACTCGTACGTACGACTGTACAATGTAAAATATAATTCCATCTAGCTATAGCGACTCTAGATACAGCTGTGAGTGAGCGTTTACCTTCTCATATTTTTTTTATTTTATTTTTTCTTCCCTTCGCTGTTTCCTCTTGCTTGCTCATCTGTTTCTCGCTTATATTCTCCCGGGTTATTATCAGTCCGTTATAATTCGTAGTGTCATAGTGGCGATATCTCGGTATACATAACTTCTCGGTTACTCCGACTGCTCTAGCGCTCATCCGCGACACGTTTCTTACTTTTTTTTTTCGTTTTCCTTTAAGTTCTCGACATAATGCGTAAGAGTTAATAGTAGAGTATAACACTGCTCGGTAAATATATCTTTATAGAAGTTAAATTTAGTGTAGTATAAACGTTAGTCATCGGTACATCGAAGGATATGCAGATAGAGAATCAGAGAGGGCAGTGATAACAATATGTTTGGATTCTCCTGTCGATAAAGTGGAGGCGTTCGACTTTCATCGGAAAAGGACCGAGGAAAAGGAAGAAAGTCAGTAACGACGACGACGACGACGACGACGACGACGACGACGACGACGACGACGACGACGACGACGACGACGACGACGACGACGACGACGACGACGACGAGTTTATCGTTACAGCTGTCTCTCTTTTTTTCTATTACTTGTACGAAATAAAATCCCAATTATGATTTCCAGACCGAAGATGATCGATCGATCGTCGGGCTGAAGCGAAGAAGAGAAGAAACGTTTCTAATGAATCGCTCTCTGATATCGTTGTTATCGCATTACATTATATCGTTAAAACTGCCCGCGCGCAAGGTTTAGTCACATAAATGTATACAAAATCCACACACCGATTTATTTATCCATAGTCTACAAATGACTTCGAGAGGTTGGGGTGAGATGGGGTGGGAGTGGCAAGGAGGGGGCGAACAATTGCAAGTCCGGCGAAGACGAGAGAGTTTAAGATTTATTGTGCCTCGTTAAGCGTAAAAGCGATCCGCGCAAAAAATGGACCGCGGCACTGTTTTTCTTTCTTTTCTTTTTTCTTTTTATTTTTTTCTGCCTCGATGATAAGTTCAAGCTCTTGTGCGATTAAAGATTATAAAGAAGCTTCATCCGACGTGTCGATTCGCGGGCTTTGTGCACGTAGCCGTGTTTTTTTCTTTTTTTTGCCGTAACTCATTTATCGATATATGTCGTTGGGAAGGATTCTCACACTCGTCGAGATCAAAAATATGTAAGAAAACTGATTGGACAGAAGGAGAAGATAGAAAGGGAAATCAAGAGAGCCGTTCGAACAGAGACTCGAGCAATAAAAGAAAGCGTGACTCTCTTGAAAAGGATCGAGCTTCGTCGAAACGTTCTCAACTGATAAGAGAGACAAAGAAAGAGAAAAAGCGAGAGAAAGAGCGAGAGAAAGAGAGAGAGAGAGAGAGAGAGAGAGAGAGAAAGAGAGAGAGAGAAAAGTCACGATCAACAGATATCAGTCACTGCTAATAATCGATCGATCTGTGGAGTGTTCCGTTCATTCCGATCGATCGCGCTAACTGCGCTTCCCTGAGGATTGTTACTTCGAAATACGTGCTCGTATCGACTTACAATTCGTTAATAAAATCTCCGTTTACTCCCAGCTTGTCTAAGAAAAAGAGAGAAGCGGCGAATGCTCTATACAGATAGACGAGTAGACAAAGATTTTTTCTTCTGTCAGATAGATAAAATAGATAGAGAGTTAGAAATAGAGACAGAGAGAGCGAGAAAAAGAGAGAAAGAGGAAGAAAGAGAGAGAGAGAGAAAGAGAGAGAGGGAAAGAGAGAGAGAAAGAGAAGCAGAGATAAAGGAAAGATATCGATACTAGCAACCGATCCCGAGATCCCGTGGAGCAGGCGTGGCAGTTGTAATGAAGAAGAGGACGATCCCACACGCAGAGGAGGAGAGAGAAGTGCAGAACTACAGAAGAGAAAAGGAGGAACGCGGAACTTACAAAATATTCGAGAGCAGTTTATAACAATCGGACGTTTTTTTCTCGCCTTCGATTGATCGCGTCGAGAGTCAGTCTCGACCAGCGATGGGCAAAGTACTCGCTGCAGCCGCTTGCTAATGCCAGGGGAGGCCCGCTGTTCTTCGTCGTCCGAGACGCTCCAAGACGTACCTATCGATTTAACTCGCATGCGATTATGCCGAATTCATTTTAAAATATAAAACGTCCGGGACGTATCCGTGCCGTACGAGAATGGCGAATGCCTCCCCTGGCGCCCGTACCAAGGAACCAGCAGAAAATTTCCTCTTCGACACACAATCATCACAGAGAAGACGAAGGACGAATGAGAGTCTGTCACATCATAAGTCCTCTCACTGGCCCTTTATCTCCTTCATTGCGACAATGAAAAGATTCCTATTTCGCCTCCTAATAATTACTAATAATTGCTCAGATGTCGTATTGACGATTCTTTTTTCTTTGTTTTGGAAACACGAAATTTTTACAACAACTACTTCAATCCAGAGACTTACGTACATAGACTGAGCGTTTCACCAGAAGCTGAAAGAGGACTACATTTGAAAAGGACCTGGCTTGTATCACAGGCACTCGATCTTCGTTCAACTCGACCCCCACTGGAGGAAGCTGGACGAAGACAACATACCTGTGGACAGTGAAAGGAGAATGCAGCTGCCTTTTGTATCTTTAAAAGTCTCATAAGAAAGGACTCAGTCTACGTGTATGAGTCTATGATTCAACCATAGCGCATTCTTTTCTTCTTCTTCGTTTTCTTCTTCCTCTTTTTCTCATTTGATCCGCCGCTAATCAATCGTGCCTCGAAGATATGTATTGTTGTATTAAACACGTTTTCTCTCCATCCGCGGAAATTGACGAATCCGTTCGTTCGTTCGCTTACTCGCTCGCTCGCTCGCTCGCTCGCTCATTCGTACGCAAATCAACGAATATTCGAGGGATGCGTTCTCGCGTGTCACTCGCAAGCACCCCGCAGTATTTTACTCATCCCTGGCGTGGACGTACGTTTGAACGACAATTTGCATACATTCTCTCCCTTTTCGCATTCGTCCGCCTCGGGCCTGCTCTTTCCGGCCACGCGCTTCCTTGGTTTCTCGATCTCGAGCCGAGAGTCCGACAAACGCGAACGACAATGGTGGTGGAAAGTTCGCAAGCCGGAAAGAGCAGACCCGACGCGACGAATTGTCCGCTCGGGAGTCGGGCGGGACCGACGACGCTTTAGGAACCGAACGTGTGTCGCCGCGCTTCATAACGACAGATCAGTTTAAACGCTAAGCCTCCTTTCGTTACTTATTGCTTCTTTTTCTGCGACGAGTCTCTCGCCGCTTCGTCGTGCGGCATGTCGTTACCATTCACCGTGTTAATAGCCGGCCGCACCGACTAACGGCAACGAACAACCAATCGTCTTCCCTTTCTTTCCTCTTGAACTCGCGGAGTTTCGTTAAATTCCTTTTTATCTCTCACCGATTATTCTGATAATTCGACGAAAGCCGCTTTGGTTTCTCTAGCGTTTCATTGATACACCGACGGCATTGATAATTAACTGTACAGAGACACAACATTCATGATGAATCAATTATTCGTCTTTGACATTTCGGAGTTTACTTTTTTTGGTCTTGGCTTCCAGTCGAACGGGTGAGTTTGACGAGGAGATCTTGGTTGGCGCCAGATGCGTCGGCGATTAAACACGTTAATAGCAATACATTCAACTGAAACAACAACATGTGAAACTATACGCAGACCGGCCGGGCCCAGGCGTGACCTGGGCCGCTCTCTGCATATAACGAGCGTGTCGTGGATCTCGATCAGGAGGAGACAATGCAACTTGGTAGAAACGACTCAGTGCACTCGCGATTCGCCGTGCGCTCGGCGTCATCGTTACAAGATACCGCCGAACTCGTCTGCCTAACTCGTACTGACAATACTGCATTCACACCCTGTATTTATGTATAAGTATATTCGCGTATATGCTATATAAATCACCTATTCGTTAAGAGTATCTCGCTTTTTTCTTCTTCCCTCTTCTCCCGAATTACTTACAGATTACTTTCCATATGTATAAGAGTCGCGGTACGTACAATCTCACGCGGGACACCCGAGCGCACGTGAACGCGTCAAATACGTCGAGGAACATCGAGAGAAACGCGTCGAGCGAACTGCTGCTATCTTACAATCGAGTCAACTTCAGCGGGCGATCGAACTCGAAAACGTCGCGACTTCGCTCTGATAAGTTTCCGCTGATACACTCGGGGAATTTCGTGCCGAACGAGAGATAGAGAGGAAGAGAGGCTCTCGCGGAGCTCACGATGTTCCTCCAGTCGAGTGTGCTTCGTTCGCTCAAGGCCTCCGCGCGGACGTTGTTATACGCATGTCACGTATCCTTCGCTCACACAAAAACAGAGACTTTATATATATAATAAAATCTATTCAATCCGTCAAACAATTTACACGCATAACATAATTGATAAATGTACGTATGTGTGTCTGTGTCTGTATCATATATATATATATTTTTTTTATCTTGCTCTTCTATACAACAATGAATGTGTTTAATAGGATAGAGTAGGATCGCTCGATCGCGATACTTTCGCTCCTAACTTTCGTTTCACTTCCAACATCTCGTCCTCACGAGGCTCGCGCGTCGAGAATGAAGCGTAACTCGGACTCTTGCCGCCGGCAGAAGTATTACACCTCGTATAGAAACAATACTAGGAGAGATTAGCTTATGTGTAAAATTACGAATCACGTCGTCGCCACGCGGCAAAATTCGTTCGGGGCTATCACGTTTAGCGGCTTAACCCTCTAATCCGCTAATATCTATCGTCGAATCGATCGTGATGAATCGCGCGCAAACAGCACTCTGTTGTAGCCGAAGTATCGTTCTATAGCGATGAAGGAATCGCAGAACACAGCTCTATGTAAAACTTGACCCTGTGAAACTTAACTTCGTGCTTGATACCAAGCATTTGTATGTATACAGGGTGTTGCGTCGACATACGAGTCAGTACGATGGGTTGCCTGCCTGTTTCGCCAAGTTGCACATGCACTCTCCCTTGCACATCTTTTCAGCGAGTTTACCTCCAAGGCTTGCTGACAATCACGCTGAGATCGCACGCATTTGCGAAACGGACAGGCAAAGCCGTCGTACAGTCGACTGATTAAACATTGCAAAGCTTCCTTGCTTTTTCATGGAGGAGAAAATGGTACAACCTTTAATCAGCTAATCGTACTGTGTGTTGATACAGCACCCGGTATCAACGCAAACCATTTGCCCTAGAGATCAACAATTTTCTGTAAAAAACCTCGTAACGTTCATAAAATCTCACAGCGATAAACAATGATGGTACGGAACAATTGCACGCGCCATCCCGACGTAATCGCTCAAGAGACCGTTCGTGGTAAGAATGTTGGAAGTAAAATCCGCAAAATAACAAAACAATCTACTTTCTCGGTGCAAGTTGATTCCTAAAAGTCATTCCTTATGTCATGTCGCGCGAATCTGTCACTGCGCTCAATATTATCCCCAGTGTCTCTTTCATTAATTATTCCCTAGATCAACCCTCGCGCCTGCTTCTTCTCTACGTTCCTCGAAATCGTTCTGGAGAAACCGAGACAAAAGCCGCTTCACATTCTCACCCAACTCTTCGACTTCAATTTACTCCCTTCTCCCTCCCTCTCTCTCTCTCTCTCTCTCTCTCTCTCTTTCCGTTTCTCTTTTTCTTTCTCTTTTAGTCTTCTCTCTCTTTTTTTCTCAGTTGCTAATCAAGTGCAAATAGTAAGATCGAGCAACGTCGCCACATGGCCGATTCGCAATCAACCCTCGATCCTCGTTTTTCTACGCTTCCATCTTACTTCGAAGAAGAATCATCGTTCTTTCAAGGAACAAGAATTTTCAGCTTGAAGTCTTACGAATCGAAAGAAAGAGAGGACTACAATCGAAATCTCGCATCTTATCGGATCTTCTCGCGGGAAAAACAGTCCGAAGAATCTCTTTGAGCGCGACTCTTCTTTTCTCGATTCTGCACGCTTGATGCCAGAAAAAGAGAAAGAAAAAGAGAGAAAGAGGGAGGAAGAGGAATCTCTTTCTCTTTCTTCCTCTTTCAACGTGACGGCTCCGATCTACCTCCTCTCCGTCATGCTCTCGAAAGACGAACGTCCTTTCCTCTGCACGCACGATCTACCGATCGCGATTTCAAGGTCCTTCGGAAACGTATCTTATCAAGGATACTTGATCTCAATCGCGGATCGCTCTATCGCGTAGCGCGAGTCCTTTACAGGAACGTTGCAGAGGGACACGATAAGGATTCCTACTTCAGTCGCGTACGATCGGTCCTCCCGTCACCAAAGGCCTCTTCCAGAGCGTCTCCCTTGAACCGATGGTCGGGAGAGCTTCTTCGAGGAACATTGCACGCGCTTGTATACTTATTATTTCATGTTTCGCCGGTGATTTCGTCGCATGTCGCGAGTGACACCTCCGTGTGAAAATCGTCCACTATGCCGCGGCGAACAGCTTGGGGACTCTCTTTTGGAGCACGTCCGATCATCTTCCTCCCTGAGATGGATCCTAGCATATCGAGTCGAGATCCGGGAGACTTGCCTGGCATGCGGCAGCCGCGGCAACGCGAGGATGAACCTCTACCCCGAGAGAACGATTGGTTTCCCGCACGCTTGCCGGTCGCGAAAATCGCAGTTCCACCAAGTCCCGCCGTTGCGCACGCTCCTTCTCGCTAAACGGATCCTGTGTCCCTCGATCCCCGGAGCCTTTCCAACAGGAAAAGACAAAAGGCGACGGGAGATGCGAGCAGCACCGAGCCGCGACACACGGAGACCAAGAGCCAGCCGGCGGTGTCCTCCAGGTGTCGAGCGCGTGAGGATTCCGTCCGTTTACACGTACCACTCTTTAATGTCTATGAGTTCCCGCTTCTTGTTGCTCTTGCTACCGTTGGCGCCGTTCTTCAGGGCGCCGTTGAACGCTTGGCCGGAACCCGCGGCGCCCAAGAGGGCCGCGTTCGGGTCTTGGCAGAATGTCTTAGTTTCGTCGACCTTGTAGCTGGTCTCCGGCCGGTTCTTGAACTTGAGGATTATCAGTATGATGAGCACGATCGCTATCAGCGCGGCCGCTATGATGCCGATTATCAGCGCCGCATTCTCCGCCGCCTCGGATGTTATTCGTTTGTTGTTGTTCTTGGGCGGAGTAGGCATCGGCGGATACATCGGCGGTGGCGGCGGCGGCGGCGGCTCCGTCATCTCCGTCGTGGTGCTCGGGGTCGTCACGGTGGTCGATCGGTGCGTCACAATGCTGCTGCAAGGCGTAACAATCGGTTAGCATCGAGTCGCCTCTCCGTCTCTCGTCTCCCGCGCGTGCGAGTTCGACGCGCGAGCTGATTGCGGAGTTGTCGGATAATAATGACGCATACTCTCGCGACATCACATGGACAAGATAAATATATATCAATACACATAAATATCAATATAGAACAGAATATGTAAATAATGGATAGTGAATGTTACAGTTAAAATTTTGATTTTTTAATCTTGTTTCAGTGTAAATCTCTAACAACTTGTGTTCTTCTCATAATGTGTAACGTATAAGAGGTATTTTCTTTCGTAATAAATAAATAATATAAAAAAATATGTATGAGACAAAGTAACATATATACAGAATGTCTGAGATCTTTTGAAAACGAAAAATTGTGAAGATTAATCAGATGAAATTGAGAAGAAAAGTTATGTACCATTTTACAAAAATCGCACTAGCTATCAATGATTGAAAATGACCACATCTAGAGGCTCTTTTAACTGATAACTTGAAAATTTGCGTACTTATTTGCCAAATGGTAAAGGACTTTTTTATTCAGAATGACCTAATTCTACAATTAGATGACGACTAGCGACAGGTTCGAAATTCAGGGTTCAAGGTTCAATATACTTATCTATCGCTAAACACAATAGCTGTCATTGTAGATTAGGTCGTTCTGAACAAAAAAATTCTTTACCATTTTGCAAATAAGTTATCAATTAAAAGAGCTTCTACATATGGTCACTTTCAATCATTAATAACTTAATAACTATTGCGGATTTGGCAAAATGGTACTTGAGTTTTTTTTTCAGTTTGATTGGACCTTCACAATTTGTCGTTTCCAAAAGATCCCGGACACCCTGTATATAAATAGAGATATATGATTATAAAGAAATAGAAATATAGGTACATAATATATGATAAATTCTCCCGTCAACTTTCTCCGCAATCGGCGAATCAATATGCGTGAGCGATCGCGTATAATTATCCAATACGGCGTCGCGATCAATTTCGCGAACGTCATCGCCGCGACAGACGCACGCACCTGCCGTGGCTGGTCTCGAGATCTGTGGTTGACACATTATACTGGACGGAGACGGTGACGACGTCACGGCTCAACGTTGTCGACGACGTCGACGAGGTCTGCGTGCTGATGTGACTAGTGGTGAACTCGCGAGACGTTGTGTACGTCGAGCTGGTATCTGCAACAGAATAGAGAAAAAGCGCGTGAGAAGGTTGTCTCTCGCTTCGTTCTACCGCACAATTCGCACAGGGGGTGGCTGGGGTGGACAGGTGGTGGAGGGGTACGAAGGAGTAGGAGGGGGCGGGGAGTAAAAGGGATGTGCGGGATGCGGAACGTGGTGGCGGCAATATTTACGCGTGCGTAGGCCGGCAATATTCACGCGTGCGTAAGCAGGGGCGAAGTTTCGAGGACATCGGGGACGCTTTCGAGGGCACCAGGGCCGTACATCGCGCGCGCTGGGATGATCGGGTGGTAATAACATGTTTTTTATCTTCTCGGGTAGGATATTGAGAAAAAAGGAGAAAAGAGAACGGGACAATCGAGATGTAAAAGCAAGTCGACGTATTTTTATGGATTCACTTCAATGGGATTGGTTGGGGAACAGCGTTCCAGTTGCTGGAATTAAAAATTTGGAATTAAAATAAAAAATTATATCACAGATCAGCGGAGGCTGCGATGTAACAATTTTGTGTTAAGATTTTAATTGTACGGCCGCAAAAATATCGTACAATTGGAGCAACAGAAAGGTCAGCATATAATCGACAAGGTACTTGCGTTATTTCGAGGAAATGTCAATTTCCGCCACTTGCACGCGCTTTCATTTCGAAATTGGAAATGCTACCCCGTCTGATGCTGCGACGGGGTAAGAATCGCTACTGGCGAGAATCTCGCCCCCGGCGGCAAGGTGGTGCTATTTTCACGGCGGGTGACTTAGCCGACGATTGGCGGTGCGCGCGTCACGGAAAGTCGTCGTCGTCGTCGTCATTGTAGACGAGGACGCCCACGTTGTGAGTATTTCCGTAACGGGGAAGAGAGAGGGAGAGTTTTTCATATTTAAAGCTAAGTGACAGCGTACCAGGATTGATCGACTCGTCCGTAACATAATCATTCAGCTAAACCGTTTAGATTAAGCGGCCCATTTTTCTTCTATTCGTTTAGCGAGATGGATCAGATTTGATGTGAGGGAAGGGGGCGGTTGAGAAACGGATAAGTAGCAATGTCGAATTGAGAATCCTTATAAATTTGCATGACGCTCTAGCTTCGATCGGTATGGAAGAACATTCAATAATTGACTTCAAATTAGCAGTGAGTGCAATATTCCCGAGACACCATTCTTCTTTCAATATTCTTTGCGTGCATTTCATATTCGGAGATTTTTATTCTTATCACTGTTATATTTTTGTTAATTATTCAGCTCGCCGATGGAAATAGTCGCGCAGTCTATGCGAATTTTATAAAAGGCAATGAACTCTCTTTTGCGACTCTATGTATGCAGAACACAGACTGGCAGCTTTAAGGCATGAAAAGTCGAAGACCATCTTAGAGCTTCCTATAAAAAACAAACTGAATTTGAACATTTTTTTCTCGGATGCAATTCGAAACACAACGGATATCCCATGAAAGAATTTGATTTCGAGGAAATTTTCAATGACAAATTTTTCATTAGTACACTTGTAGACAGACATTAATCTTCTGCGAGAGTTCAGCATGTGAGAGTTCGTCTTGTCCGGTGAAAGAATTTACTTTCTAATTTATGTTATGTATGTGTTCATATTCTACAAGATCGTAATTTTTTATTTTAAAACCATTACGTCAATTTTTGCGGTCAATGAAAAGAAGTCTACGACAATTTTACTCCGACGAGTTTCCAGATGCATCTGGTACCGAATAAAAAATTAATCTTTTGGAGATTGACTAAAATACAACTCCTCTCCTATTGGATATCGGATGTATTCTAAAATTGATCAAGGCAAAATGCCACGACTTTTCCTTCATTAACAAGAGCGAAGGCTGCGCATATATTAGTCCGAATTCATAAGCTCTCAGTCTGATTTGACCGAAAATAACAGACTTGGAATCGCCGTTCCAAGACACCGACCAGTGGCCGAGGTGACGAAGATCTCCTCCGTCGTGCCAGGATCGCCGGAGCCCTCCTCGCAGTCCTCCTCGTCGTCGCAGGTCGGGCGCTCTTGGATATTTTCCTTGCGCGATTTCGGCCTCAGCGTCGTCGGTAATCGTGTAGGCGCCACGTATACGGGCGTAATGATGTCGTCTGGAAATAGAAGCGACGTAATTATCAAGATCGCGACGAATATACGAGGTCACACGTGTATGTGTGTGTGTGCGCGCACGCATGCGCGCACGTATATACGGGGTGTTAAAAAAAAGAGTTCCAGATTTACAGGGCAGGTAGTATTCATTAGACTGAATAAAAAGTGCTTGATAAACATAGCTTAAAAAACCAATTTTTTCTTAATTAAAAGTATTTTAATTTTAATTTTATTTTATTTTTTATTTTTATTTTTGTGTAATTAAATAGCTTTTCGCGTATTATAAACATGCGTTTACAAACATGAGAAACAGGAAAATAAATTTTATAACAATTTAATGATTTTAAGGTGGTGCTTATAAGTACCGACAGGAATGTAGGGTATAACACAGAAAAAAAAATTCAAAAATATGTGAGCGTTTATATTTTTCGGTAACGCAAGTTATTTGTGTTTTTCCATTGATTATGTGCAGTAAGAAAACAAATGAGTATCTTGCTATATTGTTATTTTACTATTACTTTGTTTATAATAAAAATTTTTCTCTTTCCTCTCTATACATACTTGACATTTTCGAATTATAGAAACGTGAACCGTTTAAAAAATTCCTGAAAATTCCTTGTTCGAACTGTATCTTAACCTTTATATCCTGAATTAATTTACCTATGACTTTCTTATTAAATTTTTGTGCAAATAAATAGCCTTTAACTTATAAATATGAGGGATAAGAAAATAAGTTTAATAACAATTTAATAATTTTAAGGTGGTATTTATAAGTACGGCAGAAATGTAGGGTAAGACACAGAAAAAAAGTTCAAAAACATGTTTATATAGAGCGGTACGTTTAAGTACCGTCAGTACATAAAAAATTAAATTCGCTGATGTAATTCGTGTATATTATTTATGAGTGAAAAGTAAACGAAATTTATTTATATATTCCCATAAAAAGAAATTCAGTGAATTCAAGTCTGGAGATGAAGAAGATACAACACAACGTCCAATCCATTTTTCGACGAATATTCTATTTGTGCTCTCTGACGATTAATACCGAATGAGCTACAGCTTCATTATGCATGCACCACATCTGTAACCTTTCACCGAAAGACAAGATCAGCAGGGTTAGCAAGGAGCAAAGGCATTGATTTTATCGAAAAATCATGAGATGTATTACGGCTGATAATTTATTCCATAAAATCGGCACATCGTAAGATGTTCGTTCGTTTATTTACTACGCGTGAACGGAAGCACAAAAACAATTTGCGTTACCAAAATCGAAAAATGTTTATAACTCTGAAAGTGTTGACTTTTCAGCCTACGTTTGCTAAGCATTTTTCATTCGGTACAATGAATACTATCTCCCTTGTAAGTTCGGAATCCTTTTATTGAACACCCTGTATAGAGTACGATACGGTAATCGTCGCGGATGTTATATCGCCGGCGGATAAAGCGCAAAATCGATAGGATCAAGTCGTACTTTCGATTCGCAAATAACGTGCTCTCTTACACACGTTATCACGCGCGACCTTATCTTCTTAACTTCGCCGCCACTTTCCGTATCCCATTTTTCTTGCATTATCGATGCGCACACACGAGTTGCTCGCCGATAAACTCGTCCCCCGATATCCTGGATATCAGTCTCTGTTTTGGAGAGATAGGATAAGTGGCACTGACTCGAAATAAATATTCAAGCCAATGGAAAATATATCTCCCCCAAACGTAGTTTTCACATTTTATCACCGATCTCGATCTGAATAGTCGTCCAGCGTAGGATTTATTTAGACGATCAGATAAAAAGTCTTATAGATAAAAGCTTTGCGATAACAATTGTTGCCTGCGCGTTCAATAAGTAGTCGCGTGAATTTAATCGAGTCTCGGAATAATCGGGACGCGGAGGAAATTAACGCTGCGCCGCGCCACGCCGAGCGGTAAAGAAGCGCGACTGAGTCCGGACGTCATCCTCGGTCATCGACTCTCATTAAGGTGACGATATTAATTCAGTTTTTAGTCAGTCGGAGAAGATTTTGGAACGGGGCTTCAGCTCGCCATAGGAGGTTCGCCGGAAGGAGAAAGGAGGGGCCGACGACGGGGCTTATCTCTCGTCACGGAGCGGCACAGCGATCCTAAATATGTAAATGAATTGAAGCCGAATCGAACCGGGCGAGCATGAAGACGAAAAGGTGGCATGCCATGCGATCTTACGTGTGTACGTATGTGTGTGTGTATGCGTGCGTGCGCCCTGAGTGCGTGTCCGACGTCATGAGTGCGCGAGCGCGCGAGTGCATGCGTACGAGCGCGTGCGAGTGCACGGCGCCCTTTCTCGCGTGATGTAACGCGCGCGCAGAGCTAGCTGACGTCCTTACAGGGAAGCAGAAGCTTCGGAGGAATCCCGAGAGAGAGAGAGAGAGAGAGAGAGAGAGAGAGAAAGCAGCAAGCCGGAAGGCACGTATAAATCGGAGATTGCAAAGCGCGCGGCCTTTTTAAGTCGAGAATAAAAGGAGCCGAGGAAAAATGAGGAAGAGAAAAAATGAGTATGAATTTACTGAAATTTTACAAATTGACCCATATCTTTTTTAGCTTGTTTTCAGCTTGTCTTGTTATTTTTTCGAGCCACATGAGGAAACCAGTTTTTCTCCTAAAAATCGTGGAAAATGGATGTGGATGGAGAACGCGGAGAAATGAAGAAATCGCGTGTACGCGGATGTATTCTCGGATCGGAAGAGTTCTTCTGGACGACGAGTCCTTCTGGAGCGAATTTTCAGAAACTTTCGGGGAAATCGCGAGAGAACTGCCGAACTCTCTCTCTCTCGTGTTGTTCATGCACGCGAAAACTGAGGACACACGACGGATCACGCTCGGCGATGTCGACGACCTCTCGAGGTCGCAACGTCACGCGCACATTAAGAAAGATAAAGAATGCCCCCCTCGCGGAGAGCGAGGGGCGTGCAGAACGGATTACTTACGCCCGAAAATTGTTACTTACACTTACCGGAACCAGACTCGTAAATCGGCGTGCATTCTTCGTCCTCGTCGTCGCCGGCGCAACCACTCCCGGCGCCGGAGAATATGAGGTCGTCCATGACGCCGGGGAAGCCGGACGCGGGCGTCTGGAACGAACGGACAAATTGGACGGGTGCAAATTAATTAACGATGAACCACGATCGATCGACTCGATCGGCGCCGCAGTGCGGGAAGAAACGGCCAGATTTCGAGGGGGAAGTAAATAAATTCTGTGCCGCGTCCGTGTACCGACCGTTAATTAACACCCGACATTTATTCTGTATAATCGACACTCACGCGGACACAATTGTTTATGCATCAATAACGTCGCACTGAACCGAATCTTTATGCAATAATAATTATTGAAGCACGCAAGAGTTCTTAAACGCGTTGACATGAATAAATGGTAGCCGGCGAGAAGTCCACCTCTACTATCTTGCGTTTAACACATGTGTCCTCAAGGAATGTTGCAAACATCTTTAAGGAGGAATAGCAAAGAATCTTCACGCACATCACAACCTTGTCGTAGTTTGCAATGACAATTCCAAAAACTCATCTTGGAAGAATCAATTGCTCACCCAAAAAAAGTATTCTATTTATAAAATGTAAAGTATTCTATTTATAAAATGATTATTCCCGTAGTCTCATATTCTAATCGAAGTCTTTTATCAGAAAAAAGATTCCTCTTTCGATAAAGCGATTAAAGTGAACCATTCATCCAAAATTTATTAGATATTATCCTAATTGTTTTCCTCTTATTTCAAAAGGATTTTCTCTTATATCAATTAATTTTCCTCTTATATACAGAGAAATATGTTGATATGAATGTTGGCTTCTTTTGTTCAGTCATGCTCCACTTCCAGACATAAACAAAAAAATAACTATATGGCTCATGGGTCAGAATACTTGGAACGATTTTTAAAAAGGTATGTGTGTTACTATAACATATAACGAAGATAATTTACCCATATTTGATCAAATACAGTTTATAATCTATTGCAAGAAGTTGAATAATATATTTCTTTCTTTTAACTATGTTTCATACAATTAGTTACGATGAACATCTTTGTAGCTATGAAATCCATAACAAAACTAATTGGAAATTTATTTGTTATGACCTTGTTTCATTCGTGTCTACTTATTGTAGGACTGGAACCAGAAGGAACATCTATATATATATATATAGATATATATATATATATTACTTTTTGCTACATTATAATAATTTTTTAATAATACATTATAATAATTTTTTTTAAATTAACCCGTAAGAATAAAGTACAATAAAAATAAATAATAATTCTCTTAAAAAAAGATTAAATAATCTGTGTGTAAGAGGAAATTTATATTAAAATAAGATTTGCAAATAAGATTTGCATTATACACATAACATATAAATCCTCTAACTTTAATAATAATGTGTTTATAATATTTTCCTCTTAATCTTAGAGGAATCTTTTTGAGGCCACACAAAAGAATAAAATCCTCTAAAATTTGGACGATTCTGCTTGTTCTGAAATTACTTGTTTTTGGGGCGCTGATGTCGAAATTAGCTTCTGTTTCTAGCGGAAGTAAAATTGCCTCGAAATATCGACGAACGGCGATATCGTAATTCGCGCGATAAACATTCGATCGCGTTACCTCGACGACGACGTCGAACAGACGATGATTCGATTCCGAAGATTCTGGCGCAAATGACTTTTTCCGAGGGAAAGTTTTTACGACAGGATAAAATAATTTTTCCTCGAATCCCACTCGTTCGCCACCGACTGCGTTACCGACTCACGACGGGCTTACCTGTTGCATCCTCTGCAACGGCGCGGCACGATCCAAAAGACTTCCCGCCGGTAGCAGCTGAACGTCCCCTCTGCTCGTGACTCTGGCATCCTTGCCCGCCGCCAGCTCCAGGATCCTGGCGCCGTTGACCACCAGACCAGCTATCACACCCAGGAACGGGCGTTCCACCTTGTTCTTGCTGCGGTTCCACCGACCGCCCACTTGTATGGTGGACTGGCTGTTGAACACCGTCAGCTGGTGACCTGTCGACAGGCAGACGCACGACACGTACATTCTCATGCAGCTCTTGAACTGACTCTCACACAGGGATACCACAGCGCGGTCACAGCGTGCGAAGGTACCTCGACGTGTGAGCCCTTTCCCTGCGCGAGGTCTAAATTTGGTTGGTTTTCGTAGCAGGCAAGCATGAAACACGCGGAAGGGTTTAGCGTGCGGCGTCGCCCTTCGCTGCGCGCGCGCGCACGATAAGTAATCCGATTAGAATCTCCAGCCGATGCGTAGACGTCGAAATACATTTCCGGCGCAATCGCAAAGTCGCGATCGTTCAACGCGTTAATCATGCCTAGATGTCTCAGGTGTCCGGATAGATATACTAAGTAGGAAAGCATAACTACATAGCATGTCCATCCGGACGAGACGTTTGGCATAATTTCAATCGAACTTTCTTCTGTGAGTTCGTTTAATTGAACACTTTTTGTCCTTCGTCTTCCTTATTCCGCTTTTCGCTCGGCCCTTGCGCGAACAACGCTCGTGAAACGCGAGCGAGCGCTCGCGACTCCGGCGCGATGGCGTCGAGGAGAATCATCGATCACGATCGACGTGGATCGATAATGCGACCATTGTTGTACTAGGCGACCATGATCGATGTAGCCGAGCGCGTGCGTGCACGCTCGCATGCGTGCGTGCGTGCGTGCGTGCGGGCGTGCCCGTGCGATCGGCCATCGGCGAGTTAAATATCACCTCGTACTAGGGAAGCAATACGTGGTACGAAGTCGTCTCGTCTCGTCTCGTCTCGTCTCGTCTCGTCGTGGGCCTCCCCTGACACTACCGGATCAATAATTTTCGACTGGTCCGAGAAAAAACCGACGTGGCTAGCAGCTCCCTACCAGGCTGACATGAGGAAATAGAAGGGCGGTCGATCGTTTTAGGCAGCGTCTGCCCGCCGACGAGTAGCGGTTAGATGCGCGCTGAATTGCCAGTTTGTGCGCATCCACCCGGCTTCGTCAACGCCCGACCACAGTATAAGAAAGAACAGTAGGTTCACTCAGCACAAAATAGTGCCAACGGTCGTTTGTCGCGCATGACCGAACTGCACAACCAACAATATGGCGGCCAATAGCTGTCAAAATGTGTAAGTGTAAGCAACGATTAACCATATGACCAAATTTTTAATATAATATTGTTGTTTTATTAAAATCAGTAAAATGAATGAAAGAGGTGGGTATAAATGTTGTATAATAAATTGCAAAAGTGCAAATTTAAATTTGCAAAGTGTTAAATTTTGTTTTAATCAAAATGTGTCCCCTTCGAAACAATACAATATAAAAAAAGGAGAACCTCAATATCATTTAGTTTTCGAGATTTTTTACCTGTTACGTTTGAAATTTAGCACCCTGTATATATATACATTTTTCTATATTATAATTAGTAATATGCTATATATTATTAATTATAATATTATTACCATTATAATATTATTACGAGTATATTAATAATAGCTCATATTTTTATATTATTTTATAATGTATATAATAGATTTGACAGTAAATATTGAAAAACAGCAATATATCTGTTTAGTTACTATTCCTTGTCATTCAAATTATAACCCGCGCACAACCAATAACATGGCAGTCTTATAGCATCTGAGATCAAAAGCACCGCTACCGAGTGAACCTACTGTTGTTTCTTATACTGTGGCCCGATCGTTTATTAGATTGAGGGAATTACTAGACATTTTCGGCCAGACGCGCATTCGTTCACCGCAAACCCGAGTATCTATCCGGAAGTATAAATCCGAGTAATATTATTTTGACACGCATAAGCGCATGATTGGCGGAAGCTGTCTCCCTACGTATCTTGTCGTCTTGAATCATTAAACGTGTTAAATGATGTCTAAACGAATTAAATGACGTGATTTACGACGTCCCAAGCAGCCGTCATAGCTGAATAGTTTGAGGTTTACTCCGCGCGAGATAACATTTTGTTCGTTCCGGTGTCACGCATAATCGGCGGGGAGATTATAAGTAGTTAATTCTTTCCGATTTTCAACAATTTTCAATCTTTATTTAAGAGTCGGTAGAACGATATTAATCAATGAAATGTTCTCCGTTGTCATCGATGATCTTACGTTCATTGGACAGTTGTTGAATTCCATCACAATAGAAACTTGGTGGCTTTGAAGTTGTAAAGTCATCGATGAAATTTCATACGTCATCTAAGTAATAAATTTTAATGACTGGTAATTTTAATAATACGACGCACAGGCGTATTCGTCGAATCAAGCCAGAGATGAAGTCACAAGCTCGTGTCTATTCGGGTAACCTTCGCCGAGCATGTACAGGGTGAATTATCTGATGTGAGACTCTAAAATATCTTTGTCGTTTGTTTCGCATCAGAGATAGATGTGAGTTCTTTTATATCAGCGGATAATAACGAAGGCAGATCGCTATTTTCTCTTATGAGTATCTTACCACGAAGTTCTTTAATTTTCGCAAGTACTCAAAATTTTGGAATATGAAAATTTGAGAATTTCAGAAAAGAAATTTAGGATTTTGGAATGTGCTGGAATTTTAGATAAGGAATTTCGAATTTTAAAATGCTGGGATTTTAGAATCGAAGTTATTGAGTATAGTAGTTAATTCTTTCTGATTTTCAACAATCTTTATTTAAGAATCAATAGAACAAAATTAATCAATAAAATATTATCTGTTATTATCGATGACCATTCGAGCAGTTGCCGAATCCCATTACGATAGAAACTTGGTGGCTTTGAGGGTATAAAATCACTGATGAAATAACGTACGTTAATTGTCGAAAAATGTCTATCAAACAGTGCATGTTGCATCGACCGAAACACGTGAAAATCTGATGGAGCCAAGTTTAGAGAATGCGCCGCGTGTGGGAGAACTTCATCTCCAAGTGTAAAATGGTTTCCTTTGTGGCTTCTGCTGTATGCAGTTTAGTATTGTCGTGCAGCAAGATGACTTTACAGCTGCCTTGTCCAGTAAATGGCTTTTTTCTCAATTGCATCGCTCAAACGTATCAATTGCTCTTGGTAAATCTCTGCTTTAATGGTTTTAAGAACTCATAGTACAGCACACATTTCTGGTTTCATCATGTACAGAGAAGAACTTTTTTCCCGAAACGTTCGGATTTTGCTGTCGACATTTTCGGTTGAAGGGTTTATCCATGTATTTTTGCATTTAGGATTTTCATACATAATCTATTTTTTGTCGCCAGTTAGGATTTTGTGCAAAAAATCATTTCTTTTTTGTTGTCTGGCGAGCAAGATAACGCCTGTGATCAATCGGCGATTTTTGTTGTCAATGATTAGCTCGCGTGGAATCCACTCTCCTTCTTTCTGCATCTTTCTCATACGATGTAAACGATCGCCAATAGCTTTCTGGCTTACTGCCAGCTTTTCCGCAAGTTCTTGTTGTGTTTGTGCCGTATTTTCATTCAGTAGATTCTGCAACTCCTCGTCTTCAAATTTTTTTGGCTGACCGGGGCGTAGTTGGTCGTGAAGATCAAAATCACTACTTCGGAAACGTTCAAACTAGTTTCGGCACGTGCGATCAGTCACAGCATTTTCATCATACGTAAGCAGTACAAATAATTTTGGCTGCTTCAGAAGCATTTTTATTTAAATGAAACGCGAAATTCATCGCATATCGAATATGCTTTTTGCTGATAGTTATCGTAAATGCTACTGATTGTTTAAAGTTATATATATCAAACGCCAAATTATATGTCATTTCGAAAAGTTAAATGTCAACATTTCAAAATCGCAAAAGAGCGAGAGAATATTTCAATTTCAAAATTTGCTCTGAGCTATATAGATTTCATCGAAAAGAATTAATTACTAGACTTAATATTGGGTTGGCCAATAAGTTCGTGCGGTTTTTTACTTATAAATGATCGATGATTATTTTTATAGAAGGTAATAACTGTAATCAATTATGTATTGGCCGTTATCTACTATCTTTCGGGCAGTTTCATAATTCCTCATTCAAAGAACTTTCTGTCTTTCTGAGCAAAAAACTGCGAAAAAGTGTCGTTTGACAGCTTCCTCACAAACGAAGTGCTTTCCGTTCAAGGAATTTTGAAGGGAGCGAAACATATGGTAATCTGAAGGTACAATGTCTGGAGAATACGGAGGATGTGATAAGATATCCCAGCCTAGCGCCAATAATTTTTGTTGGGTTTGTAGAGATGTGTGCGGCCTAGCGATGTCATGATGAAAGACGACGCCTCTACGATTCACCAATTCTGAACGCTTCTCGTAGATCGCTGCATTCAATTTATCCAGCTGACTATAGTATACATCTGAATTGATCGTTCTGTTTTTCGAAAGTAACTCATAGAACACAACACCCTTCCAATTCCATCAAATTGAGAGCATGGTCTTGCTCGGGTGAAGCCCTGACTTCGAAGTGGTTTGTGGCGGTTCGCTGCGTTGCCCCCACGATCTTTTGCGCTTGATGCTATTGTAGACGATCCATTTTTCGTCGCCAGTTACCATACGCTTCAGAAATGGATCACTCTTCTCACGTTTTCCAAATGAATCGCTGATGGAAATGCGTTAGATTAAATGAGTTCGTGCGAAACCCAAACATCGAGACGGCTAACATAACCAAGTTGATGCAGATGATTTTCCACGCTTGATTTCGATATTTGGAGAACGTTTGCAATCTCCCGCGTCATGTAATGTATTGTACATTGGTGTCGATTACCGCCTTCAATTTGTCGCTGTCGATCTCATTTGGTCGTGGTTTGTCTTTGATGGAAAAATTTCCGCAACGAATCTCGCAAACCACTTTTGGCACGCGCGTTCTTTTACGGCATCCTCACCATATATAGTATTGCACAAATCTTTTTATAGGTTTGCGCCGCGTTTTTGTCTCTTTTAAAATAAAAAAGCATAATATGCCGAAAATGCTCGTTCTGGTTATCTATTTTCAGATAACGCAAAATACACAAGATACACAAGTAATATTTACGTATATTTTTTAAATGCACGTTG